GCCATGCATTATGAAGGATCGATGAGGACAAGTGGTAAGACCATTCAAACGTATGTCCGTGATCTCACTTAAATTACATGTATGTGATCAGCGAAGGCTATTTTAAGCATATATATTGTTGGACACGCCATTACCATTGTGAAAACATATATTGGTAAGATACGATGAAAATTTAAATTTTGCCTGACAAATACGGCGTTTATTTAAATTAAATTTTTATGTATTTTTTTTATCAACGACGCTATCTTCTGTTTATTTTCCATTATTTATCCCCACCTCCATTAGCTTCGTCCCCTATAGTAGAGGTGAAATTAGTGAACGATTTGTATTTCATCTGTACAGTCAATATAATTTACAATGGAAATTGTGTTTATACTAGCCACACGTGCATTTCGTTACAACAACGTCACAAACAACGAGTGGCAGTTTGTTTGCTGGGTGTATATATACATAATTTGGGTTGCTAATAAGCATTCTTAAAAAAACGTATATCAACACATATTTCTGCCTTTTAAGAACACTTAATGGCTCCAAATGCGCTCTAGCGTGTTAACAGTGTGTTGTAATGTAACAATTGTATCCATCACGTCAAGGCTAAAACAGCATCAGTATATCTGGCGGTGCTTCAACTCACACTGTACCCATGTTTTGTGTGCTAAATATGTGTCATTAACATCGACAAAACATTTTCTATAATCAAACAAAATATTTGCTGGAAGAATTTTTTTTTCAAATTCCAACTTTATCATGAACATGTGTTTCATGCAAAAGAAAGTCAACTGTCCTTCTGAAAAGAATAAACACATGAGCATGTTCAAGTCAAATTAGGAAAGAGAAACAGCCATAGCCATTTATCACTGGCATACAGCTTTTTTAATCTAATACAGTGGAATGGACAAGTTTTCGAGTCAAACCAAAAGTCAATGTTCAAAAGTTTTCAGATATCTTAATGATATCTCAGTTAAGTTAATGTATTCATGCTGACATATAATTGAAAGGTTAATTGATGCTTCTCAACTGGCCATCAATCTGTTTATGTTGGGCAGATTTTGCACGTAGACTGGCTAGGTGGGAACGGGATAATTTTATTGCAGTGAATACAACTACTGCATAATACATATAAGCAATCCTGAGTGGACCAGCCAAACCAGTGATTGATATTATGAGCAATTTGTTACGTGATCAGATTGCAATGACACCTTATAGATTACGACACCACTGAAGTCCATCATATATTTGTAAGTACTTATTCTATCCCCGACGTCCCCTGAATAAACACCCACAACGTGTTTGGGACTACATCATGTTTAAATTTAAAACACAAATGTTTTTTATCAAGGCCTCATCTTTGGACATTTGAATCCTCACACCAGTAAAACGACAACCGGAAACAAGCTAACTTCCTGACAGAAGGAAATGGAACAAGTAGACACATATTGGTTACCTTTGAAATGTCTTGACTTCCCGTGGTATCGACAGTGATGGAATCGTAGCTTCAATATGGAATCCACTGTGTGCAGTTACGGCACTTATTAGTGAGGTTAGTGAGTATTTATATACTTCCCATATTCAAGAAATATTACGAAACAGCAGTTACAAACGACAGGGGGCAGAAATACTACTACTACTAAGAACAATAAGGACTGTTCAAAACCTTGTCAGTGGAAGTCCTTCCTTGGCACAAACAGCATATCTTAAACGACATGATGACATGGATCGTTGCTGCTACTACCGTCTACCCCGGGGCGTCGTGGAAATGTATTGTAATATTTTCTGGAATAAGTATGCTTGCTCCTTCATCAGGTGTCGCTGACTTTGAAGGATCAAGCTTACACTCCGAAACGTCGTGTTATTTACAATAAAGAAGTTGAAATCCATAAATCTTGCTATTTTTAAGTCATCATGGTGTTTGCGGAAACAAACTCACGCGAGAAGTGACCTTGTTCTGCCACTATGCTACATCATTTCCATGACAAAGAAACATGACTAGACAAAATCATATCTGAATTAGTATTGGCAGCCAGCACCAAGACAAACGCATAACCTGATTCCCAAGATGATTACGTGTCTTACATTCATGTCAGTTTGAAGCTGCCGTTTTGTTTTGTAGTTTAACGCCGCACTCAGCATCATTTGTGGTATACACGGTAGTCTATAAATAGTTTTGTTTGGACGGCACAGTCCAGTGACTGACATCATGAGCATCGATCTACTCAGATGGCATATGATGACATGGAGACGTGCACGCTTGAACCCATGTTACACTGTCTAGGACTTCATTTAACAGATACATTCGTTCATGTAAGGTAATATCTGTTTAGGACTGACAGTGTATTATTTTCAGTTCATTGGGGCATGAACAGAAAAATCAATGTGCATACATATTTTATTGACTGTATTGTCGTCACACACGCAGATTCGTACAAAATCGGATTTTCGATTCATACTTAAATGAACGCACAATGAATTTATAATGACATTCTGTGTAGTTAGATCAAAAACAATTGTATAAAAGAATGCCGAAACACGAAGAAAAACATACTGACGAATCAGGTGATGCTTAAAATTACGCGCATAATTTGACACTCCAACAAAGTCATTAGCCAATCACAGGAGAGCACCACCAAAACAAAGTTCATGGTGTAAAAAATACCAACCGATTCTGCAGACCCTGCACTATGTCGTTTCCTTCCTTTTCAGCGTCAGGTCTGGAAAGTTGTTTAGGACGATAATTGAGGTAAGCCATTGACTGTAATTGGCTTTCCCCAACTTTCCCGTATAAGTGAAGACCCGTGAAGATCCGGGTCAGAATTGGCCTTCAGCAACCGTAAGAGACGACTGACGGGATCGGGACTTGGCTGACACATGTCATCGTATCCCAATTGCATCGATGGATGTTCATGTTGATCACTGGATTGTCTGGTCATAACTTGATTATTTACAGACCGTCGCCATATAGCTGGAATATGGCTGAGAGCGGCGTTAACCAATAAACAAACACACCCGATGAATGAAAGGAGTTCGTTTTGAGAGCGTAGCTTAACATTTTACATTCTATGGTAGAAGAATTCTGTAACAAGTGGCCAGTCCAGAATGCAGGATTTAAACGAACACAGCGGAAATGTAGTTATTGACATGTGAATATGATCTTTTTGTTCCCAGGTTTATGAAGCACTGAGTCATGTTACAGCCGCATCAATCTGCCAATAAGTTGACATGGCTACAAAATGGGTCACGAGGTCTGCAACTCCCATATATAAAAAATATGTAATCAGGAACATCGTCTAGACACTCTCTGGGACAGTAAGTCCGATAACATTCGCGACCAACCCGTGTTTTTCCGGGACAAGCCGAATAGTGACTCGTGTCTTCATGGAGGTTACGGAGAGGGGCGAGTGGTAACGAATGGTCCGATAACTCACACGCCCATAGCTCGTGCCCAGTGAAATGGTACACTGGAGCTGCTCTGTGAAATGGTACACTGGAGCTGCTCTGTGAAATGGTACACGAGCGTAAGTGGCAGTGTCAGTGCAAAAGGGGCAAGGTATGCTTAATCATCATTGCACTGTTGATGATTTTAGCTGCTGACATTCTGTGGAACACAATCTTGACTGATAACGATGCTTCCAGATATGTGTATGCCCTTAATTGTATTTTATCTCCCTTACTTTACTACCAGTGTTTATCGACTTTGATTCCATATTGCTTGTATATGTTCTATTTGTATCCTTTGACCTAACAAGAAAAATCAGTTCAAACATTTGTCTTCCCATATTAAGATTTTTCTTTCACTGTAATTTTACGACAGGGATCGCATACCCGGGGGTTAACGCAGGTGATTTAATGTCTGTCAAAAATGCAAGAATGCTACCTGCGTGTATGACAAACTATCTAGCCGGGAGTCGGTTCACAAGTAGACATGGTATGATCTGTCTGCTGGTTCATGACCCTATGCGTGTAAACAAAGGAGCAAAGCATTTAAATCTAATCCAGTTCATTTACTCGGATGCGCTGACACTAGAGAGTCCTCACCAGTGTCCAAATATGTAACGACTGATTCGACTGCTGTTGTGTGATACCGTCTTTTTGCATTGTTCTTTAGTTGTCTAAACATGGTCGACATATTTCTGCCACAAATTATGTAGTTTGTTCCTTTTGGAATGAACTGAAACGGTCAGTGAAATATTTTCACGTTCATCTGTCCACAGTTTATCCTAACAATGGGAGACAATTCGAAACAAAGTGTTCTATAAGACATGGTTTGGTCTGTTGGTGTGATTCAGTAATATGAAAGGGTTGTCTCGTTTCGGACGATGTCTCGAGCATTCTTCAACAGCATGTTTGAGAACAAACACACAAACACACACAAACACACACACAAACACACACACACACACACACACACACACACACACACACAAACACACACACACACACAACACACAACACACACACACACACAACACACACACACACACACACACACACACACACACACCGGTGAAGTAGGCGTGACCCAAGGTCTTGCACCCTACCGACATGTTTGACACATATTCTGTCAGTGTTGACAGACATTCAGTCATCTGATGTTACCCCCCATGACCCTTGTCATGGAATAACATGATAGGAAAAATATTTGATTTAGTATGACAACCTAAACCTGATTTTCTATCCAGGTCAAAGGATGGCAATAGCATATATATTTCCTCATCCTGTATAAACATACCCAGGCGAATTTAATCGCCCCAAAGGGAGTGCAAAAACAACAGTAAATACGAGAAATATCAGTAAAATTATTCTGTCAGTATGAGAAATATAAACACACAAACACGCACACATACACAAACGCACAAACATACAAACAAACACATATAAACAGTTACTACACGCCCACATCCAATAAAGTGTTTCGTCAATTGTCAAAACGATTTCAAACGATGTTATCTTAAGATTCTGAATGAAAATTCAGCCTATGCGTTTAATGTAAACCGGAAGCTTACCTTAACGTGGGACCCAGACTGGTGACATAACAAGGAAATTTGCAGGTTCTTGAAAATGTCAGTGTGTTTTTGTACACCTGAACCGCGCCTCGTTCTTGAATGCCCTGCACGCGATAGTACAGGTCGTGTTCCGAACTACATCACTGTCCTGCCCAGAATTATATCACTTAATCACAGTCGTGAACATTACCCACTGTCATGGCCTTAAAACGAACTCTCTCTGGTGTTTCGATTTTCACGAAATCTTCGCACAGTTATACCGTTAGATGGGAGTGTCTTCTCTGAGGTCCGCGCCAGCTGTACGTCGCGTGCCGTAGGAACGCTGTTTAGAGATTTCTTCCTGTAATTAATGGTATAATCAATAGCAGGTCCAAAATGGGATTCGCTAACATTTAGAGCATGTGGATGGACAGGTTGTCTCTCGTGAAACGCCCGGGGATAACAGTCCCTTTAATTGATCGGAACACAATAACCTGTAACATGTCTAGTAACCCGGGTCGAAAACATGGTAAGACAACCTGTAATGGGTATCAGTTACTGTGTGATCGATGTAGGTTGACAATCAAACTTACTTCAACCATGAAGGACATTGTGTCCTGGGGAATATATCCAATGAAATGGATCACATGGAGGTAATTTTCGGAAATGACTGGTATTGGGTATCAGGTAATAATATTAATGATCCATTTTGTTATTTGTGTCTACCTGTCGTCAAACGATTTCCTTTATGGTGTGATGATGTTTAATAATTATTTTTTTAAGAACGAGGAGTTTGTGCTTAATTTTATCGCACATTTACAATGGTTGAGTATGTATTTTAACGCTTAGTGGTTCGGTAAATACATTCCGAAGTATCTAGAACTAATACAACTTGTTTAGACAATACCACTCTTAAAGGACTTTACAATCAAACAAACATAAAAATAATCTGCTTTGTAGATTGTGTTTGGCATGTATTTAACATGATCAATGGTGATATCTATTACACGTTGTAATAACGCCTTGGACCACAGGATTGTTTTGGACAATGCAGTTGTGCCCATTAACCACTTTACTTCACAATTGTTCACACTCTGCATATCATTATCACATGTCCTGCGCGTTCAGGATATTTGCCTGTCTCTGCCTGATTTAATATGAAACCAAGGTGTTATTATTACTTCGTTACCGGGTACACATACAAACATTAGTAAATATTGTATGGAATTTAAATTATGTGAAAAACATCACAGCCCTTGCTGAGTCTGTTATTACATTTGGTCTGGATAAATGGGTTTTTTTAAAATTCATATATCCGACGAGATTTTCCAATAAAAATGTAATTTGCAATTGCTTTCATCTTATAATCAACAAACCGATCCTAAGACCAAACTAACATCTCTGCTTGGTATGTTTCATTTAACTATTTAATATTGCATTGTACATTTTTCGAATACAGAATTGACTTGCTTTGCATGTGTTTTTGATGAGCAGGATATGCTAACCTTGTCGCAACCTCCTGTCATGAACACTTTTTATATCATGATTCTTAAACACATGGTTATGATATAAGTGTTATTCCGGTTTTATATATATCCTACATTGTTAGTTTTGTATAATATCAGATTCTCGTGTACAAAAACAAAACAAGGTCATAACCCTTCGAGCTGTATTTCATTTGATCAATGGAGAATATCTAGTCACTTTGATGTCTATAGTGATATGTTTCCTAGTTGTGATTTTGATCATAACTCTATGGTGTAGATCATCCGGTCAGTGAGGCAGTTTGATCATAACCTTTCGATGTGTCGATCTTCCATTTAATGATTTGTTTAGGTATATCAAACGAGTTGCAGATCATCCGGTTAATAATTCAGTTTGGTCACCAATCGGACGGAGGGGTAGCCTAGTGGTTAATTATAAAGCGCTCGTTCGTCACGCTGAAGACCCGGGTTCGATTCCCAACATGGGTACAATGTGTAAAGCCATTTCTGGTGTCGCCCGCCGTGATATTGCTGGCATATTGCTAAAAGCGGCGTAAAACTATACTAACTCACTCCATACTACACACTACCGCAATGAATATGCATGCATTCTATTTAACCATATGCAGTCTGACAGTGCGATACACATGTAAAAAATCTAGACAAAAGAAGACAATACAACAATACAAGGCCATACATTTCTTGAACGAAATTAAGGGTTCTTAGGAAAGAAAGTAGATAATTTTCAGCTTAGAAATACTGAGAAGTTAATAATTTCGTACTGTTGTTACAAATAATCTCCCAGGCGTTTCCTTAACCACTGGCGCTGATCATACGCCACAGACAAATATACCGTCATAGGAGTCTATTATAGACCTGTGTCTGCTATATTGGAGAATGATTGCCAGTAATGTTCTAGGTCTGCATATCATTAATATAGATGGACACATATTGTTCCCTTTGTTTACCGAGCCTAGACTTATAACGATACTGAATAGCGTTTTGATCTTACAATATCTGACTAGCTGACGTCGATCTACTTGACTTATGTTTTAACAATAAGCTACCAGCTATGTCAATGCCTATAGAAGGCTAAAATGGTACTTCTGACGATGTTCATGTAAATTAATATGCACAGGTTTACATTGATAAAATCTGTTTGATCTGATTTGATCACATGAAGTGTAAAATTTTGTTAAGATCTTCTAAAATATTGGGGAATGAATTATGAATCTTTGAAATGTGTGAGAACATTTTAGAAAAAATTGTAATTTGAATGCCATCAACACTTACCCTTAAAATTAAAATATTAATAAAAAAACATTTCTACCACCTTGGACAAGGTCGTGGATTGACTTATGGGTGTGTCAAATCATTTGACAATGCAAAATGAAACTCTGCCAATAAATTTACGAAAGATGTGTTTTAAAACATTGTAGGAACAGAAATAATTTCAGAAAACTACATTTAATCCTCACGCAAAATAAACACTTCTCATTCTCTAAACTTTGAAATTATGAAATGATATTTCATCTTGCGCTGTATTTAGCGAAAACTAAACTTTGTGAAAATTAGCAAACCTCGGGACTAGATGCGGAGAGCCAATATGATAATATGTAAGTCATAAGCAGCATTTACTGCTGAAACTTTCTACCTGTCGAAGGGAGTATTAACCAGAAAATAAATAAAAAAGCCAAAAAACCCTACAAATCCCTTTCTATAAGCTCAAGAAGTATCTGTTCAAAGGGCGACGGGGTAGCCTAGTGGTTAAAGCTTTCGCTCGCCACGCGGGAGGCCTGGGTTCAATTTCCCACATGGGTACAATGTGTGAAACCCATTTCTGGTGCCGCGATATTTCTGGACTATGCTAAAAGCGGCGTTAAAACATACTCACTCATTCCGATCACGCTAAGTGAGTTGGTGTAATATCTCTGGACGGTTTTCAACGATTAGTTTCGATCTTTATTTTATGCTACATGTAACTATGATCGTACAGTACGTGAAATCACCGAACCTTGCCGTACCGTTGACTCGATTCGGTTAAGCAGATTGGAGGTCGTTGCCTTTCCTGATAACAACGCATTGGAGACACGGCTTTAAGTAGTAATACAGATACTACTATGTTGTTGTAAGAGGCAACGGGATCTCGGGACCTTGAGTGACCCGATAGGGTGTACGTGCTCCGGTCCAGTTATGTACTGTCCACAGTGACAAAGCTCAAATATTGCTGACGTCAGCGATAGCCATACGCTTTGGATGAAGCGACAGCCGTATTGTATTCGTCGGGTTGTTAACAATTTAAAAGCACAGAAAATGACCACGCACTTTCTTAATCTTCATATCATTCCACAGGGAATTTAGAGTATGTTACACTGGTAAAGACAGTGAGTGAGTATTTTAGCAATATTCCAGCAATATCACGGCGGGGGACACCAGAAATGGGCTTCACACATTGTACCATGTGGGGAATCGAACCCGGGTCTTCGGCGTGATGAGCGAACGCTTTAACCACCAGGCTACCCCACCGCCTCCTGGTAAAGACAGTATCAGCAATATCACCATCCTCATAATCGAGTGTGTTTGTTGTCAGTAACGCCGCGCTCTACATGACGGTGGTCTGTAAACAATGGCGAGTGGACCAGACAGTCCAGTGATTGACATCATGAGCATCGTTCTACGTAATTTGGATACGATGACATGTGCCAACGCAGTCAGCCACCCTGGCCATCCGACCCCTTTAGTCGCCTACTACGACAAGCATGGGTGGTGGTGGTGGTGGAATTGGGTTTAAGGTCGTGCTTGAGAATATTTCGCTCATATGACGACGTGCATGCGTGTGTATGTGTATGTGCAGCTGCTTGTACTAGCCCAGACTGAAGCTGGTTTTATAGTGCTAGCCCACTGAGATACCATGCCGCAGTGAAGCATGAATACCCCACTCAGACACATTATTCTGACTCCAAGCCAACCAGTCCTTGTTGTACCCATTAATGCCGAGCGCCAGGCAGGAACCAACAAGTACCATATTTTAACATCTTTTGGTATGACGCGATCGGGGATCGAACCCGCGACCTTCCGCACTCCGGGCGGACGCTCTAACCACTACACCACGGAGGCGGTCGACAAGCATGGACCAGTTCTATCATCATCAGCACCAAGAGTAATGTTGTTGCTGTTGCTGTTGCAGCAGCGGCAGAGGCAACAACGACATTACTATTACATGTGTGATAATTTCTATTTTTCCCACGATCAACTGAAAAAAAAATCAGAGCAGGAAGAGATTGTAGATAAAGATTTTCGTAAATTCGGTCGATAGAGCCTGTCTACTGTCACCTATTGTCTCCGTGGTGTTTACAGTACCTGGGATATAGGCACTTATAACATCGATATTCTCTCGTTAATAATAGTTCGTTCAGAGACCAGAATACGAGTTTACATATGCAGACTGTGAAAACAGATTATCATTAATGATCCTGAAGAGGCTTTTGTTCTGACAATTACTGCCCATGTAATTGTTGTTTGTCATAGCGATCTGACAGTTGCGGGTTTACACAACCTTCGAGGAATAACGGGACAAGGTGCACGCTTCGATTGTATACACATCATTCTACCCACAGTCACGAACACGCAACACACATTGTGTGTAAATATACGTTTTACTCTTCTAAAGTAGAGATATTAACACGAATAGAATTTTTTAAAATTAGAAAAAGTTAATAATTCACGTAGGACACTACGTCACAAAGTGTACTCTATGAAAAAGTATGTCGGCTGTATACACATCATTCTACTGGTGGTTGATATAATGAGCACCGGTCAATGCTAAAGGGGAAGAAGAAAACGGAAAACCAGTTCCTTCAGTCACGTCCGATCGTCAACCAGCTGGTTATACCACGCTCACCCTTACACTCCTTATTGTGCGCCACGTAATGTTTGAGCTGTTGAGGGTTTGGCAATCAGTTGTA